CAATTTATTCCAAAACTGAAAGTCCTTTAGGTTGCTATTAAATAAAAAATATAATGATAAAATTTTATAATTTAAAAAATCAAAGATAAATTTGATATATTTATATAAAATAAAATAACAAATTTATATCTGATCTAAAAGGGATTATGATTTTTCACAGAAACGTGAGTGCTTAAAGACTAATTAAAATTTTGATTAAAATAATGTAAAAAGGTTAGGCAAACGATGCCTGACTTCCTTTTGGGTTTTGGTGTTATATAAATTGTAAGCATAATTTTTCAATCCATCAATAGATTTTAACTCTATCTTCTCCAATTTCTCTAGCGAGTTTGCAAAGAAATAAATCCATATATTTCTCAACTTATATTAATTAATGCTTCACCATTATTATTATTATTATTATTATTTGTGTTGAAACTATCTATTCTACTACTAACTTATGGCCACCATTTTTTTTCTTATTTTTTTAAAAATAAGTTATGAGATGGAATTTTATGCAGTTGAAAGATGTTAATCTTAGATGCTCCTATGAAAATGAATTTAGAACCGAATTTAATATATCTTGAATGACGCTAATTGAAAATTAAACTGCTAACCACCAGTATTTAAGCAAAATTAAACACTTTTTTCTTGCTTATTTTGCAATGTAAGGAAATAAAATTAATGGCATTAATTTTTGTGAGAAATTCTCAACTTGAAGATAAAATTGATTTGGATGCTTGAAGGAATCTTCCTATCATATCAAAATCTGCGTTTTATGATATGACATATAATTATTACTGCTTTTACTTGAGCAGCTGTCTTCGTGGTTTTGGCCTTTCACCAACCTCTTTATTTATAAAAAATATTAAATTTCTTTTTGCAACACCTGAAACTGGGCCTCTTTCTTTTTTTCAACATTGCTATGGCAACAAGATTGTCAATGAACGCTGCCTTTTTTGCTTGATTTCCGGAGGCAATGCGAACAAAGGAATGTTAGTACATTAATTCATAGGCCAAAACTAATGTTTCTTGCAATGATAACTCTCAGAAATTTTGGAGGTTGATGTGTCACTTCACTTTTCAATCAAAATAAATAACGCAAAATGAGCAATCTTTTTGACTAATTATTTCATTAAAGCATATTTTAGCTTTCCTGCTTAACAAAATGTTATGCAAAGATCAAACATTTAACAATTTTAAATGGTTTTAGTTTTTTAAATGTACTGTTTTTGTTCACCTTGCACTAACTTTGCTTCTGGGTGACATGACAGGAACAGCTCATTCAATGATGATTGAAGATCATGATTTGACTGGCAAAAGGCCAGCCACCAATAATAGACAACTGAATTGTAGATGATCAACTCAAAACTCAAAACCCTCCACCTTGTGTGTTTGAAGTAATCAATAATACATCAAAATGATGATAACAGATCAAAGTCATTCTCCAGCGTATAGCGCATCAAAATGAAAGAAACTTGCATAATATGATAAAATTGCCATGAAAATTGATTAGACAAAGTAATCCATGACAAACCCCACTCCTACTTAAAATTTTTCTATTCATTTGAGAAAAATGAAGTCAAGTACTCAAGTTTCATGGTGATTAACTTACAAATATTAATCAATGAAAGTTAATTGATACTAGTAGGAGTAGCATTTTTGGTGGGCATTGGCAACCAAGTGAGTGCAAATACTATTGAGAATAGTGCATAAGGAAGAGGCGACGAACAGCACTGTGACTGAATTCAGTGAATGACAAATTAATATAGGGTACCTAACTACCTTCACTAGTATTACCGGCCTTTCCCCTGCAAGGTTTCTGTTCGAGTTTAGACATGTGCAATCCTCTTCAGAAAGTTTTGCAATATTGAAAAAAAAAAACCCAAAAAAAGGAAAAAGAAGAACCAAAAAGAAAGGGCAAGCAAAGCAACCAACCAAAACCAAATGGACAGCTCTCTTCATTTTGGCCCCCACCCTTTTTCTATAGCGCGCGACTCTCGGGGGGGAGGAGGCTGAGTTATGGGATATGGGTCTCTCTTTGTCTCTCTAACTCTTTTAAAGTATTTGTAATCTTGTAGACTATTCATATATCTGTATAATTTCTCATGGTTTTTGGTTAGACATTCAATGCTTAATTTTGTACTATCATGTGTATATAATTTTTGGTGAAAACTGCAAGATAGATGATGGGAAGGGGGATTGGTGGTCGTCGCCGCCAGCTATTGCCTCGTGGCAGAGAGCCAAAGGAGGCCAGGCCATGCCACTTAAACAAAGCTATTTCAGTTGTTGAACGGCCTTTATCTTTTTTTATTCATTTTTGCTCTCTGGGTTTATGTTACATAACTCAAATCACACGTGCTTTGCTTCCAAAATGGTCATAAAAAACAGCATAATCTTCGTCAGATTGAAGCCAGGGTGGGCTGCTGCAATGCAGGGTGGCCCTTTTCACTGTTTACCGTTGAAAATATTATTTCGTACCATTAACAAACAAATATACGGGTATCTTCGATCCCCTTCTGAATCTAATCTTCTTCTTCAATTCCTAAGGTACCACGTTCCCCTTTCTGCTCCCATAACTAAACTATTAAATCACATTATTAGAACAAAACCCAAACATTTTATTTTTCATGAATTTTTATTCTCAATATACACTTTGGTGGTTGGGAAAAAGTTTTGGAGGTGGATGCATGATGCAGTTGCTATGATTAAAAAAAGTAATGTAAAATGCATTCATCTCATTCACATACTCATTTCTTAATTTAGGAACATAACTGAAACATATTAAAATTTTTATAGATTATTATAAAATTTTAAAAACTTATACATTATGTGAGTATAAAAAATAAGTGCATTAGATAACTGTATATAATATATTTATTAAAAAATTAAATTTGATGAATTATTGGAAAGAGAAGCAATAAATATATATATACATATACTATTATTTTTGGTATGTTTCAATTGTGATTGAGTGGTTGAAAAATTTTTTTTGGTACACCCTAAATCAAAACTTAAAATAAATTAGATATGGAGAATGTGCAAGTGTTGGGAATTAAATATCAACTTTGCAAGAAACCATCTCCTAAAGAAGTTAAATGAACCATTTGAATTAAATTCAAATTTGGGCAGTTGATATTTGAATGCAAATTAATTGTTCTATGGCCTAACCCACTTATGGAATATTAAAATAGATAGCAAAAACAAAATGACATTGCATTGTTCCACATTTAGTAGACATAAAAGCATGATAGATTTGCTAGCATATGAATATATAAAATAATAAGAAAAATATTTGAAGAAAATTTTCTTCATCAGTTGTTGCTTTGTGCTCTCCAAAAGACAGTATTAGGGGAAAAAAAAAAGCCAAGAAAAACAATATGATCTTGACCTTTTCTTCTTCTATTTCTTCATTTTGTAGATATGGAAAAAAAAATGAAAACAAAAATTCCATTGAAAGCAAGTTTTAGGTTGTTAGAATGATCTTGACTCATTGTACCATCTTTAATTTGTTGTATTTTGTGTACGTCCATTCAAAAGGTTACGTATCCCTCTCTAAAAACAGCTTAAAATTAATTAAAGACAAATTACAATTGAAAATGCCTTCACTTGGGGTTTCCTGCAGGCACTGTGGCTTAATATAGTTGATAGCTAGTGCTAATACATCCTTTTCGGGTTACTCTATGTATATAAATCCCCTTCCAAAATAAATACCTGTAAAGGGTATTGAATACAACAATAAAAAGATTTTTTTGGTTGCCCTAATAACTTTTGCATTAAAAAAATAGCTTGGTTTTGAACCAATCTTGTTGTAGCTGTAATTATAACAAAATAGATGGATGGAATTGCATGATTGCAGATTTTGCTTGTAAATTTTAAATTAGATTTTTATTGTCAGTAATTTTTTAATAGATAATTCATAAATTTAATATAAATTTACAATATAACTTAATTTTGAAATAAGATAAATTTTTTAGCGTTGAAAAATTTTATAATTACAATAAAATAGTTTTAACATATATTTAATCAACAATTCAACTAACTTGAACTTAACACTTAGAGCAAGAGGTTCTACAGTTTCATGCTCTTCCCAACTTGTCGTCACCTAAAAAAAGACTTGCTGACAAAAGAATAATTCCATGCCGAAATGATTAAAGTTTAAGCGACAAATGTTGATAAACTTCATCAACATTGTCTTCGAAAGAACCTACCTATTTTTTTTAATGGTTGACAATAATTTAAAATTAGAAAAAAATCTTAAAAATATTAATGTTACAAATGATTTTTAAACTATATAAAATATTCAACTTATTATCTAAATTTTAAAAATTTTTCTTAAATTATAAATTTATTAATAAATATGATATATAAAAATTTTTAATTCATCATATATTATAATTTAACATTAATTATGTTAAAAATATTTATTATATTAATTAATAGATTTATAATTTAAATATTAAATTAAAAAATTTTAAATTTTAAATATAATACTAAATATTTTACTGTAATTTAAAATCATCAACCTTATTAATTTTTTAAAAAATTTGACACGGGTGAAAAGGTACGGTGTGGTCTCTATTTGCTGTGTTGTGAGCGATAGATGGTGTCACGGATTCAGTTTTGTTACCATTAAGCGTCAGTAAAAAGAATAGCATAGCATTCCCTCAATCTTCGAATTATATTTTATGTAAGTATTTTTTTTATTATTACTATATATGACAAAATTTGAAATCTCTCATGGCAGCTTTTAGAAATTCTTAGATATAATAATAATAATAATAATAATGATAATAACAATGATAATAATACATGTAAGCCTACATTTAGACTCGTTTCGACCAACTCCCTTCCAAAAATTCGATCTACAACATGATCACATCCAAAAAAACATTGTTACAGCTTGGATTAAAAATATAAAACTTTAATTATAAAATAACCCTTTAACCTGATTGATGTGATATGTTTCCTTTAAGTAAAAGAATCACTACTAGATACAACTTTTCAGACATTGATGAATTCTTAATTGAGTGAACAGTTTTCCCTCGATCCTTTCAGTATAAAAACAAGCAACGAGAGGGAAGGATTGTCAAAACGATGAAAGGAAAAAAAAAAAAAACCAAAAAGCAACTATAATATTTGAGTGAAAAAATTGGTACGTCCGTGAGAAGGAAGTGCAATAATAAATACTTTAAAGGAGAGAGAAAAAGGAGAGGAAAGAAAAGAAAAAAAAAGGAAAGGAAACGGAAGAAAAATCTACTAATCCGATGGCCTTGTCTCTTTGCCTTTATTAATTTCCAAATATTTCTTTTTTATTTTCAACAAAGAGCGTCTTGTCAACCACCCAACGCCACGCAGTCGCTTCCCGGTTCCGGCCTCAGCTTACCCTTTCTTTCCTGTCCTTACTAGCTCAGCCTTTGTCAGATCACCTCAAAATTCTTAGTGTGTCTCTTTTTTTTTTCGAATTTATTTTTTTGGGTTTCCCTTTTTTGTTCTTCTCTTAACATGTGCAAGTCTTGGTGCAATTTCACTTCAAGGCCTCCTTTACATAAAAACTGCAAAGAATTTCAATATTTTCCCATTAATCCAAAGTTCAAGACTACTCGATTTGATATGAAAACGAAAACTTTTTGCAGTAAATGATAAGTAGGTGTATAGCTATATTCTTTAGGGTTTCTATTCCTTTAGACTACTTTCTTTAGGGTTTTTACGTTTTGTGTGTCTTTGCTTTCTAGCAAGAGAATTTTTGGCTTGGGTTTGTTGAAAAAAAGGAAAAAAAAAAGATAATGGAAGAATATAATCAGCTAAACGAGAATAGTACACCAAGGGGAAATTTCTTATACGCATCCCCGGTTCTTGCACCAAATTCTTCTCCATATGGGAGGGCAAGTAGCGGTTCTAATGTGAGTAATCAGCAGAACCAGATGCCTTTAACCTCCTTTCACCTTCAATCGAGCGAGTGCTATCAATCCGAGACACACCCAATTGTGAAAACTGAAGCTAGCACCTCACAACATGGCCAAAAATTTCACTACCCTTTTTTGAGAGGGCATCAAGCAATTCATCAGCAACAAGAAGGGAACGAAAGCACCAGTGAAGTTGAAGCTATCAAAGCCAAGATCATTGCACATCCTCAGTACTCTAACCTCTTGGAAGCTTACATGGATTGCCAAAAGGTAGGTTAACCACAAAAGAAGTATATATTTGATGAAGAGAAAACTTGCTTCTAGCTCAAGAGAATTCGATTAACTCATTTAACTATATTGTCATATAGGTAGGAGCTCCGCCTGAAGTAGTAGCCCGGCTAGTAGCGGCTCGACAAGAGTTTGAGGCAAGGCAGCGATCTTCAGTGACATCGAGAGACTACTCAAAAGATCCGGAACTCGATCAGTTTATGGTGATTTTCTTTCTCTTTACCCTACTGAAAATCTCGTTCCTTTGTTTGTCAAGAACCTTCTTCTCTTTGGCTTCTGATCACTATTGGGGGTTTAAAGACAACTCCTTGTTCGGTTCAGTACTTTTTTTCTGACTCACAAAATTGTGGATCCACAAACCCAGGAAGCTTACTATGACATGTTGGTGAAATATCGAGCGGAACTATCGAGGCCTATACAAGAAGCATTGGATTTCATGCGGAGGATCGAAGCTCAACTTAACATGCTCAGCAATGGTCCCGTGCGGATCTTTAATTCTGGTACCTTTCTTTTTTCTTTCAATTTCCCGCACGCTTTAGTATCTATTCACACACTTCATGAAGATGATTATTTGGCGCTTTGCTTACCTTTGCCTAATGTCTAGCCTGGAAAAGAAACAGGAGAATGGAACAAAAATTATATCGACGTTTGCGGAAATGGGATTAACTATGCCATTTTTGTACTGTCACCACATTTGCTAGGCTTCCTTTGGAAATTGTAGACCTGAGTCTATATTTCTCTCATTCATTCATTTACCATTGCTTCTCCCTCTATCCCAGTGAAGGAAAATAAATATAACTTTGACCCAAATCACGCCTTCCAATAATCAAGAAGAAAAAAAACCCACAAAAAATAGATCCATAAAAACGGAGAAGAAAACCCAAGACACCCCAACTGTGAAGAAAAACAGCTACACTATGTATTTATTTATTTAATTGGGAAAAACCCTAGCTAATCACGAGTCTATGGTAAATTTGATTGCAATGGCTTAACTTAAACAAATCTATCTATTTTTGAAAAGAACAAAGACAAAACGTGCTCGGTTTTATGCTATCGTTGGCAATAGACAACAATAATGATGAAAAAAATCAGAACTTGGCTTTTCTCTAATGGGGTTGCCTTTTCTTTTATATTCTAATCGATCTGACAAAGCCATTCCTTATTTTAGAGTTTGTTTGTTTTTCTTTCCCAAAATCTGGATAGTGTATTCTATTTAGTTGTGCTAAATCTGATTCTGTTTCTATGGGTTTTTGTACATAAATAATATAACTCGAGAGATGGATGTTATCATTATTGTCGTCTTTTCCCGAGTTATTCTTCGTTTAAAACAATAGTTTTTACTTTTTCCCAGAAAAAAATTTATAAAGGCTTAGAAAATTGGAGAACATAGGATGCTGTTCAAATCAGTGCTAGCTTATGTAACCTGTACGGCTTTGGCAGAAAAATTATATTTTTATTGGTAGTCTTTATTTCTGTTGGGTTTTGTCACTCACAGTTGAGGCCTTTTCTTTTGTCACTCACTGCTGATTAAATTAAATCGGCTTCATTACTAGTGTGAAACTTGGGTAGAACTTTCTTTTTGGCTTTTGTTTGTCTTTGGGGGAAGGGAGGGAGGATTCTGATTTCAATCTCAATCAGATTACTATGATACAAAGCAATTGATTTTGGTGAGAGAATCTCACTCAGAATGGCGCACAAGAGATCTCCATTTATGGTAAAATTGGTGTCCACTTTTGTTAATGAATTAAGATTATAGTCTATATGAGCATTGTTAATTGCCTAATAATTGTTTTTTAATTGTTGATCGTTGAAGACAGGTATGAATGTGTGCTGATTTTAGATGGGTAGTCTTGTTTTTTCTCTGAATTTTTAGTTTTAGTATATATATGGTCTTTAAACATTTTTCTGTCTTACACTCCAGATGCATATTTTGTTGGTTAATCTTTATTATGACAATTTGCAAATCTTTTGGCATATTAGTTGTCAAACTGATGTTTTGAGATTATGTTTGTTAATGCCAGATTTTGTTTGGTAAATGCTTTCAGACTCTTTGTTGGCCCAACTTGGGAAACCTGAAATGCGACATGGATGGGAAAGTACTACTAACATTTCTATATATTTGCATGATATCTTTGATCCTTTGACACCCTTGACTATTGGAATTTGAGTTTGGATGCTGTCAGTGGTGTTAAAGCTGATATGATTTTGAACAATTTACATATGAAGTGATTAGAAATTTGATGTGAATTCTGAACTTTATGTGTCTACATGGATGAAAATGAGTATTTGGTAAGTAGAATATTGCTATCTTAATCATATTTTTTTTGTCATTTTTGGTAAATTCGGCTTTTTTATATTGGACTCTTTTCTTGCATTCTTATTAAGTCAGTCATAAGTTTCCACTTGTATGTATGATAAAATGGGAAATGATGGTTGCCCATTCCAATGAACGCAATTAGAACCGGATGTTATTCTAACCATAAGGCAGTGAAGGTGGAAGGATTAATGGTTGAGCGGTTCCTTGACTATTGATGCCTCTTGACCTGGATATGAATGCCCAAGTTCTGGCTTAAGCCATTCGCTACTAAGGGCTAAATTTATGAGATAACTGTTGGCTTACTTTCCTTGCGCTAATGGGAGCAATTATACATGCTTAGAATGGTGAGAGTACGTCGTCATCTAAAGAATAGGGTGGCCTTGGACGAAAGTTGTGGGTTGGTTAATTAAGATATTATCTAGCTCTTTCACTAACACCACTCATAAACCTTCCTCACTTTCTTCTCCCTGGAAATGTCAGATGGGTTCTTTATTAAGTTTACTGTTGTAGCTACTTGGACAGTTTCACTTCACTATAAGTTTGGTGAGCTATAATCTTAATTGGTCAACATTCACTTACTTGAATAGGAAATGCATTCATTCTCCTTTACCATCTTTCCGCTATCCTACGGTCTGTCTGACATATCTATTTATGGATCCTGACCTTTGTGCAAATTGATTTACTGTTGATTTGCATGTGCCATCTCTCTAGCTGCTATCTTTGCTTGGACTTTTGTTTGAATTGATCACTATCCTTATCCGAAGATCTAGGAAAATGAAGTAAAAGAGGCGATGAATTTTAACTGATGGAATTTATTTCTGAGAAATAGCTTTTAGACTTCTTTACCCTAATTCAAAAGGATGGAGGCTAGTTGATATAAGTAGAGATATTACCTATTCTTGTTTAAGACAATGTTAAGTGTCCTTTAGATTTGAATTCTCACTCACTTTTGTAAAATACTCTATATCAAGTATATATTGCACTGATTCTTTGAATTCGATGATGAAGTTTGTGAAGATAGTTGTAATCTGACAGAGAATATTGCTGCTGTGAAAATTCCCTGCACTGTCTATTTGGTTATCTAGTCAAGTGTTTATTTTTAAGTCGATGTACTCGTATTAAAAATTGAACAGATGAGAAGTGTGAAGGTGTTGGTTCATCTGAGGAGGATCAAGACAATAGTGGTGGAGAAACCGAACTACCTGAAATTGATCCACGTGCTGAAGATCGAGAACTGAAGAACCACCTATTGAGGAAATATAGTGGTTACTTAAGTAGTCTCAAGCAAGAACTCTCCAAGAAAAAGAAGAAAGGGAAACTACCCAAAGAAGCTAGACAGAAATTGCTTAGTTGGTGGGAGTTACACTACAAATGGCCATACCCTTCGGTATGTGTCTGTATATTCTCTTTTGAGTTAAATTATTGTCGTTCTACTACCTGCTATAAATTGGTATGCTATGGGAATTTCCACTTGATTATTAGTCTTTTCTTGGCATGCTAAAATTCCCAGTGCTAATCCCTCAGGAGACAGAGAAGGTGGCATTGGCTGAATCGACAGGTTTGGACCAGAAACAAATCAATAATTGGTTCATAAATCAAAGGAAGCGTCACTGGAAACCTTCGGAAGACATGCAATTCATGGTGATGGATGGTCTGCATCCACAGAATGCAGCACTATATATGGATGGTCACTACATGGGTGATGGTCCTTACCGGTTGGGGCCGTGATAATGCGCAATATAGCATTAGAGATTACCTGCCTCTGCAGGAATATATATATGTGAGTGTTTTAATTAGTTACATTGCAGCCATAGTATATGAGAACTATTAGTATTCGCATGTTCTTTTTTCTTTTGATAGAAATCAGCAATTCCCTACAACAAAATCTAGTATCTCTGAATAACAAACATCCTTATAGTTTTGTGCATGCCTGCTCATTGTGATGATCATTGAGGATGGCGATTTTAATTGTTTTCATTGTACCACTAGCACGGATTCAGGATGTTTGACATTGTTTCCTATGTTAGAAGGTATATATATGCTGTTGCGCTTTGTAACTTTATTGCTGTCTGAAAGTGAAGGGTATTTAAGGAGCTAGCGCCGCAAGAGAGATGTAATCGTGTAATCTAAAGCTCTACTACTTGTTTAAGTGTATATAGCGAGAAAGTAAGTACGGATCAGTTAATGAATAGTTGCAATACTTAGAGATCTTCTCTCCTGAATATTCAACTCATGTAGCCTGGCCATCATGTATAATCCAAATGTTAGCTTCCTCTTTTTATCTCTCATATTCATATCTTGATGGATGGTTATATTAATCGGCAGCGAATGCAAGTGTATATAGGAGCTTAATCTTTGTCCTTTGGTACTCAATGTCATTGGTCATTGTTTGTTTGTAATTAAGGATATGATTTGAGAGTGATAATGGCAGTTTGACATGCGTCTCTCTGGAATTGTTTAAGCATATGGTGATCATTGATTATTTGAAGGATATGAAGTGATTGATATGCTGGCAGTACAGTCCACGATGATTTCACTCTTTTTTTATGTCCTTAACCAACAGCATCTAATTTATTCTTCCTTTTTTGTTTACGTAGATAGAGTAAGAAAGAACAAAAAAGAAAGGATGAACATAAACACCTAGACTAACGGAGATAAAGCATCAACTTGGGTTCCATTAAAACATATTTCTAAGTAACCGTAATGAATCTTTTCTGCACCCTGGTTCTTCTTTCGAAGAGGTTTTCAGCGAACGTGAGGAAGTAAAACGTCTTGAATATACGAAGATCCTGGGCCAAATATAAAAGCCCTTGAAAACTAGGTTTGGCTTCATATCTCAGCCAAGCTAGCCCGCTTTGAGCTATGCTAAATGTCGTTGTCACCTTTTTTTTTTTTTTTTTCAATTAGGGATTTATTTAAAGTATTCAATTGTTGTTTTCTTTGAAATGTTGAATGTGTTGTTGGTAAGTAGAGTGGGTTGGGTGAGGGTGGGATTTAATATGATATTTTAGCATGTAAGTTTAAGTTTGATTTAATTTTTTGGACTTTATTTTTCGTCTAAGTTTATTTTTACAGGTAATAATAAAGTTTAAATTTATCCAAGGTATTAGTATTTAAAATTTAAAATTTTTTTTTTTTGTAAATTATTAATTTAATAAATTTTAATTAAATTTATGAGTTATTTTAACTTAAATTCAATTTAATTTTGTTAAATGTAATTTAAAATTGAATAATTATTTTAATGTTTTGTACACAAAAATTTTGAGCTTTATCTTATTGTAAGTAATAAAATAAATAAATTTTATTTTATTATAATAAAAATATTTTTTTAATTTTTTAGCTCAGTCGGTCTAGCTTGAGTCTTATACAGTAAAACTCAAGCTCAGCTTTAGTTTTTGGTTAAATTTTATTTATTTATCCAAACTTTATTAATGGATTTAATATTCATATTTAAATCTTTTAAAATTTCGGATGAATTTTAAGATTTGAACGGATCGTTCAATTCGTGAATAAGTCTATTGGTAAAAAATTAAAATTAAAATTTTAATATTTAAAATTTAATTTATGCACTATGAATTGATCCGTCGAAATAAATAAATAAATCAGAATTGTCATGTCAACCAAAGAAGTAAAGATAATGCAAAAAGTTTTGGCATGGCAATAAGTCGCAAGAAGCATTTTTATATTCTCAAATTCGATTCCATGTTGATTTATTTTATTCATTTACTGAATTGCGTCATGGCCTTTATGTCTTTCACAATTTTAAATCCAAAAAGTGTGAAAACATTCCATTAATTCCATATATCTTTAAAATAAATCACATTATTTAACGAATTTCAAATGGCTTTAGACTTTTAGATGCCTATCGACCGCAAAAATTGGATGGACGCCCATCGATAGACCTATACTTGGCCCGTGATATCTGAACATTATTTAATTTAATAAACATATTTTATTAAATTTAATTTTAAAATATTAAAACATTAATATAAAATAGCAAATTATCAAGCACATGATTATCGATCTAATCGTCTTCCTTATATCTTAATTATTTTAGTTTAGATGTTGCTTTCCATCTCTCTCTTTCTCTTATTCGCACATCATTTAATTTTAGAACTTTTTATAAACATTATCTTATCTTCTAATCTCTAACATTTCTTTCTGATTTTCTTTATCATATAAAATGTATGTTTGTCAGCCTGCATCACCGCTTAGTCATGAAATTAATGATTAATGAATAATTCTAATATCGCATTGATATTATGTCATTTATCTTGATTTTTTTTATAAAAATTATATATTTATCTTCTATTTTCATGGCACCCTTTATATATGATCCAAAAGTATATTTAACTTAAAGAGCAAAATACAGAATTAATCATTTGATTATGGTTTTATTTTTAAAATGGTTATTTACCACTAAAATTTGAATAAGTATTTTTTATCATCCAATCTTTAGTTTTTAACTATATACTAAAATGATAATGCCGCGTCAATTGTTATATATTACGTGACATTATTATATCATTTGATATTTTATGTGATATTGTTAACATGATATTATAAATTTTAGAAAAAAATAAATTTTGCTAATGTGATATTATCACATGAAACTTAATAGCTAATATGTCATCATAATATCAACACGTCATTAGAAACTAATAGTTAAATGATGAAAAAATTTACTCAAAATTTAGTGATTAAATTAAAATTTTTAATAATTTAGTGACTATTTTAAAAATATAATCATAATTAAGTGATTAATGATATAATTTATCCTTAATTTAATCAGTGTTGGGTGCTTTTCTTATTTAAAAATTTAAAGAGTTAATGTTATGATCCTCTATTATTGAATAGGGGATAGAGATGGGAGATAGAGATGGGAATGATAGGGGTTTGAACTCAAATCTTACATATGATCCTAAGACTTTAATTATTAAACCAAAAAGTTGAAAATAAAATAAAGGGGCATTTGAATAATTAAACTCGGGACCTCTCTATTTTGATATATATATATATATATATATATATATATATATATATATATAGATAGAGAGAGAGATAGATCAATTTATATAAAAAAATTTATATTTTTTTAATCATTGATTTTAATAAATCAAAATGATATGATTAATCTATTTTTTTCTTCTGATTCTCTCATTCATTAAATTTATTAAAATTAATAATTAAAAAAGTTATAAAACTTTTTAGTTAAAGTTTTACATTGATATAATTTGATCCCTTGCTACATATATATGAGAAGAGATTAACTTATACTAAAGTAAAACTAAAAAATTTTAATTTTAATAAATTTAAGAATGAGATAAAAATAGAGTAAAGACAATGGCTTATAATTAGCTTACAAGATTTGAAACGTGAAAGTCATTTTCAAGCGTTGCCGTCCTGCCAGTGAGCTGACAGGACTCAAGAACTGTATTGGACTGGAAATTTAGACTTTGAAAAGAAGGATTAACCTAATCATGTGAACGTGGAAATCCAATGGTAATCACATTAATTAAAAAACAAAGATTTCAAATCCAACTTATCTTTCTCTTAATCTAAACCACAATAAAAAGGTTTACTTTTTTGAGCAAAAGTGGACGTCCTTGCAGTCTTCTATGTTTCCCTTTCTTGGTCATTAAGCAACTTAAGGCAATTTCTATTGAGTTGCCTTTCGACCAAACCAAAACATGAATTTCTTCCAGACCAAAGGTTACCTATAGTAAAGATAAACTTTATCCAATTGGGGGAGGGAAGACCTGAAATAAGACATGATATTGCCTGTGCCAAGTCTGGAATTATATGCTGGATATCAATGGCAGAATTCAACAGATAATATGTAAGGCAAAACAATCAAGAAGAAAAAAGAATAGAAAAAAATGACACAGAATATATAACAATTAAAGAAAATACCAGCCAATAAATTTAACTAGTGCAATTATGATATAAATTACAGCCCCATATAATCTGTTGAAAAGGAAATAATATTTCTCCATTTCTCTATGCTTCTTACAATATGGCCTAACTTCACTAAATGAATCAAAATCAGTAAGGGTAGTAACTAATTAATTTTTCACGCAGATAATGAGAAGATCAAGACCTTCTCAGCTAGCCTTTTCTAAGTATGTACAAATATTTAATTTATACACAAATATAGATATAGATATAAGTCTAGTAAGATTTAATTACTCCATACAGATAAATATTTGACACATAAGCCTAGAACAAAACTAGCACTGTTCTATGGCGTCAACAAGTTGCCTAGCAGGCTGCAGATGGGTGAGAGAAGGGATTGAAGAAGTGAGATTTCTGACCAATTGTAAAAGGGATTGATGTTGAAGGGCCTTCACCCCCATTGGCAACCCTTTCACAGGAAGGGCACATAGTGAGGGTTGCTGCAGGCAGCTTCATATAATAGGATGATGTTAGTTTCAATGATTTAAGCTCTTGTAGTTCCTTCTGCAGCCTCTTGTTCTCTTCTGTTAGTGTTTCACAACATTTCTTCAGTAACTCACAATCTACTTCAGTCTGTTTCAGCTTTGTCCTGTACAAAAAGAGAACAAAAAATAAGGGAAAAAAAATTCATTCATGAAAAAGAACAAAAACTAAATACCCGATGTAAACCTGGCTCTCCTATTTTGGAACCATACTTCCACTTGCCGTGGCCTTAGATTCAGCTGCTGTGCTAAAGCTTGCTTCTGTTTCTGTTAACCCAAGAAAGAAGTAAAACCAAATAAGAGAATAGAATTCATATAAATCTTTTAAGGTTATATGCAGTTATAAGTGCATAAACATTGAATAGAATAAAGAAAAAGAAAGATGGTGTACAGGATTGAGAGTGCTGTGTTCTTTGAAGCTGTCTTCTAAAATTGCAGATTGTTCTTTGCTAAGCCTAAGTTTCTTTCTGGGGCTGCCTTCATCATCTTCATCACTGACCCTTGAAGAGACTCTCTCCAATTCTACCTCTTCGCCACCAAAATCTCTCTCCCTCTTGACGCTAGAGTTAGAAAATGAAGATACTGCACTAAGAGAAGAGGCTTGTTGGTGCAAATCAATCGACTCGCCGTGTACTTTACTAGCACCAATCTTAGTAGCAGATTGATATATTTCATCTGATGGACCTAACGTAAGAAATGGGAAAAAGTGGTCGTGTTTCAGGAACAATTTCTTCTGCTTTTGTTGATGATCGGACTGCGAAAAGTTTTCTTGCTTAATGAGGCAGCCTAGACCAAGACCAAGGCCAGTGTTACAAATATCATCAAATCCCATTGTGGTTAAAACTAAATGTTTCTCAAAGCTGCTGAACTAGCACAGAATCTTGATGCTAAGGAGGCAAAAAAAGGGTGTTCTTAGAGAGAAATGGAGGAGGTGGAGAGGTGTTATGAGGGGACTTATGGAGGGGAGCGGGGACATGGAACGAATTATTAATCTAAAGGAAATGAGTAGACTAACGAATCCGGTTGTGAATGATGAAAATTCCCATCTCTCTTTGTCCTCATAGGTTGACCATTCAGAGCAAAACTCCCTAATTTCTCTCACTTTGTCCCTCCAAGAGCCAAGAATACAGTGTATAAAGTTCATAGAATGGATTACATACGTGGAACCACATGGAAAGTAGAGATGTACACAAGAGCACATAAAAGAGAATAATTCGATCTTTTTACTTTTTTTTTTGGACTTTTCTTTTGATTTTCCACTTTAAATCCACACCTTTTGACCCTTTGATTATAAAGTAAACTTGTTTTAAAACTCTGAGTGATCGAGTATCCACAATTACAACTTTGGGTATAAATCAAAATTATAGCAAGAATTCTGTCTATAAATCACTTTCTTTTCAATGTTAACACCAAAGGGTGGTGATTAATTAATGGGAGGGGTCAGATAGCTAAACAGTTATTGTCAATTACAGGCAATGATGTTGATTTTAGTGAGGTAAATAGAGGAGACAACATTTCATAATAGAATTAAATAGAGACTCATCATTAGCTCTGTGTTTTTATATGTATACCTAGTTGCACACCACCAAAGTGTCCCCCACTATTACATGCCTTGCCTTACTTCTCTAACACGATATAGACTCTCGTAAACTTGACCAAATTCTAAATATTCTTGCAGCATATCACCTTAATTTGATTCAAACCAGAGGACATAAGCAGGCAACTTGGGATTATAAGAAAAATGAAATTGAACCTACCTATAAAACCAATAGAGAAGTTTATGATTATTGCAAAGTGGTCAAACTCAAACAAAGCTTTGCCAGAAATGAATAGTGATTATCGCTGGTATATTGTGGGTTGTACTCATTAGATAAAATCAATACAGGAAAAAATGGATTACTGATAACCATGTTTCTTCAACAATTCCACTGTTTTCCCTCCTAGTGCTGTGAACTCTCCATTTTATTATATGTAACTTTTTTGGGTTTTTTTTAATAATTAAGGTTGTTTACAATTAAATCAAATCACTTATTAAGAGTTTAATATTCTATCAACACGTCGTATGATTATCAGTAACTTTTTTTCTTTATATCCCACACATGTTTAAATAATTTTCAATAATCAATATGATGGGGGGAAAATATTTTGCACCATTATTAGTTGCATTGAGAAAATTATTTGTAGAGAATAGAGGACATGACCTACCACTTTCACACAATATTTGAAGGAAGAGAAAGAAAGAGATGTGCACCGTATATAAGGATGTCAATGGTAATCTTGGGGCCTCTCTACATCAAATCATTGTACATTTGGTATGGAAGGGTCATAAATTTCAAAGATGATATAATATACCCGAATATAATTCCTTAGCACAAACTTGCTATTAAAAGTTGATGTTGAGTCCCGAAGTAATCCATGTAATTTTCATATATATATATATATATATATATATATATATATTCTCAAACTCAAAATATAATATTATATTATAGTGATAAAATTAATCACGGTTCACAAATAATAGTACCATATTCTTTCATATTCAAGATGTAATTAATGATGTGAAAATTTCTTTTTAATAAGCTTTTTCATATATGAAATGAATATATGAAATAATGAGCGATTTGGAGAGATAGAGGATGCAAGGATTATAGGGAATATATTACATCAAATTCTGATACCATTTTCTCTTTAATCTTATCACCAAGTGGTTAGGTATTAAAAAAAGGTTAGGCACTAAACTATGTAGGTTTTTCCCCAACCCCATTAATATATGAATTTTGCGCAAGTTAAAAAATGGAAAAATTGATTAAATGATGTTAATCTCGCAAATTAATAACGTGTTGGATTTGTTTCTCCCATATATATTAGGAGTTTTAGAATTGTCATAGAAATCTATTGAATAAAACTTATAATTAATGGAATTTGGGAGATACAACTATATATCATGTGATCTTATCTAAAGTGTAGTAAGTTTTTTTTACAAAGGAACACCTTTTTTTGAATTAAAAAGTTATCTATATTCACACATAGAAGAATATATAAACTCATAAAATTTGATAGCATCTTTTTTCTTGCAATGAACAGAGAGTAATATATAGGTGATGATGAAAGGATATAGCGATCTATATGGTAGGGTTAATCCACCGACGAATCTATAAGTTCATCGCATCCATTTGTGGGTCATTAGGAGAAATTTTTTCATTGATGAAACATCTAATCGTCGAATATATTATAAAGTGAATATGCAGGAGAGCTTTTTTAATAGTGAATGTAGAGCATGGACGTCAAAAGTATATATATAAATATATATATATATATATATATATATATATATATTCTGATCTTTAGGACATGAAAAGGTATTTTAGCATGCGTTAAGATATAGAATTATCCAAGCCTTCATAACCAAGTTTTTGTCCTAGTTAGTGCCGGATAGAGAGACATCATGACTTTGAAACAATGGCGGAATATTAATTCGGAATAATTAACTAATACTTTTTTGTTCATAATAAAATAATACTTTTTAAGCAAACATTTAACCAAAACGTCAAAGGAAAGGAGAAAAAAGGATAGCTTAAAAACAAAGGATGCTTAGTATATGTAGCACTACTTTTGTGTTTCGTTCACACATGACACAAGAGCACAAATAGGGCAGATTCTTTCTATTTTATTCATTTTTTCCTTGGGGGAATCAACGTGTCAGGAGGAGAGGAACGACACGTAGGATTGGCAGTAACAGATAGACAAGTTGTACCCCGCAAATGATTTGGCAAGATGGAGCATTCGATTCTAAAAGGATATGATGATTGTGGGAGCAAAAAGAAGTAGTTAAGCAATGATAGAAGGGAAGGAGGATCGAGAAAGTTGGGGTGCGGGTGCGGGTGGTGTTAGAGATAAGGTTTCAGATGTGTTCCGGCCTTTAAGGCTTAGCCGACCAGTGGTAGTGAAGAATTGTGCTCTTTGTTTGGCTTTTCTTCCCCATACCAACTGTCCATTTCAAAGAAGCCATCACTTTTGTCTGCATTTCTACTGCAACTTGTTTTATTGATTGTAATCTACGTTATCACTTAAGCATTATTATTGACATCTAAACTTTTTCACTTATATTTAAATTAAGAGATCAAGATTGATCATTGATGCATGACATACACATGAAAACAGCTCTCTTTAATGTTCATGATAGGCTTTCTAAATTTGTTACATGATAAGTTTTTTCAATCTCTTCTTATACGTGATGAGAGTCTATTAAAATAATATTATTTTATATTTAATAAATATATAATTCTTATAATTTTATATTTAAATCAAATCTTTTCATTTACAATGAATTGATTTTAAAATTAAATGTTTAACAGTTGCTACTCTAAATTAAAAAGCATTAGCACAAAGGATTATTGGTATCTTAAAAAAATGATAATATTAAAAGATTAAAATTCTAGAAAACTCACATTTTTATATTTGCATTCATGCATAAAAAGATTAATCATTAGTATTAATTTATTATTTGAATTAATCATCTTGCCTACCAATTAAGTAGTGACATGATAATAGTGTCAACACCATTACAAAGAAACTTAATATAATTGAAGAGTTTATATATTAAATGTTAATTGAGTTTTTGGTGTTAAGAATAATTAAATAAGAAATTTAAAATGTTAGTACATTTTTGTTTTATGGGTAACGTGACATTGGATGTTATTTATAAAAGTGTTGTTTGTTTTATTTTGAACTAATTTTCTCTTCTGACAATATACACTTCCTCGCATTAAAAATTTTATTTTCGAAAATGTTCCCATAATTATCGAACCAAGGTTGATAAGAAAATATGGATTCTTCTCTTTGTAAATTGGACTAATACTTTGTGTATTATTTATAGGAGTTTGATGACAGGTATTTATGGAACAAGTTGGTAATGGGACAAAATAAGCCTAGCTATAGTCAGGGCAACACAAGTATAATCCTTATGGACTTCCATTAGAGGAGAGCATGATGATCAAGGTACCGACTTTCCTAAGGCAATTGTCGGCCTACCCCACTTAGCTTGTCCCGATCTTTTCTCTTTTCCCTTGCTATTTTTCTGGGACTCGACTTTCAATTACAACCATATCATGCTTGCGTGGCCCTTCAAATATCTCTTTCTCGTGGAGTTAGTTTTCAAAACTTAAGAGTCCAGAGGATCCCACTTTACCAACCTCTCCATTTTATTGTTTCCGGTGATTTTTATAAAAGAAAATGAGAACTTTGTCTTTTGGGTACTTGTTAGAGCTATATTTGAACTATGAACAATCTTTAAGAGGAGGATTCAAATTTAAGCTGGTGACAATATTTCATTTATAATTATTTAATTATAGTAAAAATTTATTATTTATAAATATAAGTTTTATATAAAATTTTGATAGATTTTACATAACTTAAAATTATAATTATAAATAAAATGCTTTCTAAACCGAGATGTTTTCTTTTATTGTCATCTATGTTCAAAGAAACTGTAAGAAAAAAAAAATTGCAGCAACTAGATTTAAGGAAATAAAGTTATTGGAAGGTGGCCCGAGTACATCGGAGAAATAACGTTCTTCTGCATATGGGTTGTCTGAAGCTCCGGCCTCTCTCGCACTGGCACATTAGGATGTCGACACTCGACACCGACAGGCTTTGCACTTATGGGCTATATCTACTCTAAAATTGAAGTTCAATGTAATGGCCGACACTGGCAAGCTTTATACTTATGGGCTATGGCTACTCCAAAATTGAGGTCCAATGGGATGGCATTTGGCCCATCATTCGGCACTCACAAAGTGACAAGCTTTCTTTTCTTCCCCTCAAAATATATATATTCAATTCATATGTGTTGCAAGAGGCAAGCCCAAGGGAATAAGACTATAGTTCAACTTGTTCAATGAGTTTCACCTTAAATCAAATATCGAAGGCCCGAAAGCTAAGCTCATTAAATCCATGTTAAAAAAGGACTAAGCCCAAGTTTACCACAGGCTTGACATGGGTCTAATTGTTGATTGGCTAGGTAAAGGCGTCTCTGGGGTCCACTGCCATATTTGACCGCACACAGAAACGAAACGATCATCTCAACCCAGCCGTGGACCTCTGGTTTTCGATATTCATGACACGCGGATACTTGTATAGAAAAGGAAAAAAAAAAGTGGGCGGTTTTTGTTCGACTCAATGCCTTTTAAAGCAGGCCAAGGGAAAAGAATCAAGCTAGAAACAATTAAGCCGGTGGAGGAAAGGACAGGGAGGAGGAACAAAGAAAGATGTGTTACGAAGTGAAGTGCTCAACATGCGGGAAAACAACATGGGGAGGCTGCGGAAGACATGTTCCATCTGTCTATAAGCGCGTGCCTGAAGCCCAACGCTGCCAATGCCGAGACTGGCCTGGGGTCAACTCTTCTGCCGAAAATCCTCAACCTTCGAGTTCTTGTGCTATTTTGTAATAACTCCTTTTTGTTTTCCTATGCAAGTCCTCCAGTTCTGATTTAGTATTTACTGCTTCGAATTGCTTCTATTATGATTGCTGCTATCAGATCGGTGTTATAATTGTTCCCGACCTTTTCTTATAATTGTTTCTCTGGGGGGTTTCTGGAAATCATTATGACAAGAAATAAACTTATTATTAAGAATAAACTTTTAGTTCAACTAAATCTGGTTTAACCACAGTTGATCATCTGAATTTATTAACAAATTCTGGCAAGAAAAAAGAAACCCATTTCTGAATAAGAAATGATGAGGATTGCTGCTTGATCCATGGAGTGCACAAGATATCACCCGGTATCTATGATTATTACTAATTAAGCCCAATCTATCGCACTTAAAAAAAGAAAATGAAGAATTGAAATAACAAATGAAGATATTTGTGAATAAGAAAGAGTTGATTCTTCCTACTTTTGCCAGGAAGGGGCTGCACAACGGCGAACTGGATGCTAAAGTTTTGCATTATGCCACTAAAATTGTAAGAAAAAGACAGATAGAAGCCAAACAGTATGATATTTTTCTTTCCTTTTATTCTTTTAATTTCTTCTATATATGGAACCTTTAGAGAAAGAAAAAAGAAATTACACATATGAAAACTTTGTTGATGGTGTCAAGTCTGAAATGTCCCAAGTGGAGGGAGAATCTTCCTGGCGAATAACGTAGGCATTGGACACCTCACATCTCACACTGAATTATCGGACGATCAAAACTTGAAAATCCAGGAATCCGCCCAAGGAAACCTTAAAAAAAAAAAAAAAAAAAAAAAAAAGAAGAAGAAGAAAAAGACAAACGACAAACAGAGATGCTCCTTGTTTTCTTGATAAGTTCCGCCTTATCCTTGATTATTGAAGGTATGGAGATTGATTGATTGATTTTATCGAAAAGTTTGTGGTATTTTAAACATTAGTTAAATTATGATTCTTTTATGTGGAATTTTAGATAAGAGGGCTCGTAAAAAAACACTTTCATTCATTTTATGACTTTGTTAACACTTGTATAAAGAAGATTGTAAGGGCCAGTGATCGGATTGTGTAATGGTCGGCCCAAGAATTTACCTCAGCTAAATGGTTTTCTTGCTTCTTTGGTGCATTTGTGTATATATTATTTGTTTAACTTTTTTTTTAATATTTTGTGGATGGTATTTTTAGGTGTCTTAGCTGGAATAAGATGAGTAGAGATTGAGGATAAAGTGGTTTGAATTTGCCATCAGAAAACACAGTCATGTGGCATTGGAGTTACTTTTCCTGGACGCACTCCAATGCTTAAGTCAGTAAAATATGAGAGCTAAGGAAAAAAAGAAGTTGAGGCGTGTATGGAAAGCTTCAATGGAGGAAAAGATAATTTAGATATGTAAGTATGGTGATTCTCTTGCATATACGAGACTTCTCTTTATTTTATATATGAAATAAGAGACGAAAATTTGAAGACAGCTGTAGTTGATGAAAAATATACGTGCAATTTGAAAAAAATTTACTAAGTGATTATGAATTGCATTTAATAATTTTAAGTAAGTGCATGATATATTTAGTAATTCAAGATAATTTGAAAGTCAAATATTTAGTTCTAATACAATGTATTGATAAAACATTAGAGAAGATATGAAAAAAGTCATTCTTTAACAAAAGATAAATTATTTTTTTTGAGTAAAAATGACATGACAACTTGAATATATATTATCTAAATGATTTAAAAAATTGATCACATTAACCAAAATGTGATCAAACAAATGGACGTAACAATTCAAAGTAATTGTTATCACTTATTAGCAATGGAACTATTCAAGATTGGTAATATCTTCGTTTGATCGGTATCACGTATTTTGGAAATTGCTTTTATATCTTTTTTCTTTATCATTTACCCTTTTTAATTTATTTTGTTTCTGCTTATGTAATATCTAGGTTGACACTTGGCTATATTCAGTTTGATCAAGAGTTTAGCATGTGAACTACTGGTCTTTCTTTAATAATTACATTGAAAGCAAGATTTAGATTCTCAACTAATGGGTAGACAACCCATTTTTCCAGTATTGGCTGAAAGCGTGTTTTGCAAAGTATTTCCTTTCTCATATATCTGGATATGAATTTTCAGAATTCTTGTGAATTAGAAAAAATTGTAACTTTAAGAGTTAAAATGAAAACAACCAGTGAAGTGGAATTGCACACCAACACCACCACTACCGTGTTTGTGTGTGAACAACTCATTCAAAAAACAACTTGATTAGTGAATACTTGGGAATAAAGCATTCGAGGAATCCCTCGATGTAAGCTTTCCGGCCCCAAGTTGGATTGAACTTTTAAGATAATGCTACTTTTGGCATTGCAGTATAAAGAATACTAGAATAGTAATCTAGTACTCTAGTGTCATAGTCAAAAAAGCTTTTAGTTTTGTCAGTTTAATGCGATAATGAAGTTGACTCACCTTAAAATTTTTTTTTTTTGGGCTCACTTTTTTGTTTTTTAATATAAGACCCACATTTTTTTTTTATCCACTTTGGCTTTTTTTTTTTCATTTTTTTTAATTTAATTTTTTTATGAGTTTTATCAAAATTGTTTTTTCAATGTGAACCATTTTTTAAAATTTTTTTCTTTCAAATCTTTTTTTTTTTTTAGGTTTTTTCCTTTGATATCGTGTAATATATTTTTTTATTTTTTAAAAATATTTCATAAATAATTTTTTTTTGAAAGAACCAACTTGGTATCAAATTTTTTTTTTTCAAGAACATTCAATAAATTTTTATACATTTTTTATTTTTGATATAAAAAATATGCTACATAGTTTTTTTCTTTTTTAATTTTTTTCTCTTTTTATCTTTGTTGGCCATGTGGTCTATCACGTGACAGTCCTTTGAATTTGTTTTTTTTTTTAGGGACTCACCTATTTTTTTAATGTTTTGAATTAATCACTTTTTTGAACCATTTTTAAAAAATATTGAATATATTTTTATCAAAATATTGAAAAAGAAAAAAGAGTTGGAAGCTAAGTGGTTAAAGCATTTTTCACCTTTTTCTTCTTTCATCTTTAAATTTATGTTAAAGTTTAGATAATTATGTGCCATTCAATGTTTAATTACCTCAATTCGTAGGACATCAAATTCTTTGAAAAAGATTGTACAATATAATAAAGTATGGTCTTATTGTGAGGGCAAATCATAATAACTTAAGAACAAAGGTGGGAAAATGTTTTCTTTTAAAACATTTTAATTTCCACATCTCACTATTCAATATATTTTGCCACTTATTCCTAATTTTTTTTCTCCGGAAGCAAGCCTTCCAAAATAATTGATTGATTAGTGAAAAAAATTGATGAGATTATATAATTTAAAAAAAAATTATATTGAGTTTACGTGATTATATGTCTATCGTCTTTCATCATTAAATCAATATCTAAAACTTTCAATTTTCGTAGAGAGTCAGATGACCCTCCGCTTTGATGGAACCGTCTTCTTCCAGCACATTCAACGCCAGGAAGCACAGCAGCCATTGATAAAATATATACAATTGAGATCCAGTGACTTTTATAAGTTGTATTCAGGCTTCAGGGTCTCCTTTGAATTGATTATGTCAGCCTGTTTGAATCTAGCTATACCTGAAACAAGAAGGAAATTAAAGAGGAGGTGAACTGTAAAAAATTTGACACATTAAAGGATATAAAAAAAAATGGGGCTATGAGGGTATGACTGAAAAGTGATTGAATCTATAAAGACAAAGGAAGAACCGTTGGCACGTAACAGAGATTATACTGGAAGACAAAAGCGGGTCCATGCCATTAATTTTTTGGAGGAAACAATCTTTCTCAATCCCTTTTCGACTTTCACCCATTGAAATTTGAATATTGAATGTTAGAATCTCTTCTGTATAAATGTTTTTGAATTCGAATTTAGTGATAATTTTTTATTTGAATTATTTTAAGTGCATAATTTATAAAAATTTTTATTTAAATTATTTAATATAATATATTTTATTTTGATTAAAAATTAAATAATTTATCTATTCTTAAATTTTTTATAAAAAAATACGATTGAAAAGTGATTGAATCTATAAAGAAAAAGAGAGAAGTGTCGGCACCAAACAGAAGTTATAATGGGAGACAAAAGTGGGTCCATGCCATTGCTTTTTGAAAGAAATTATCTTTCTCAGTCATTTGTCGACTTTCACCCATTGATATTTGAAGACTGAAGAAGGGCAAGTCGTGACATGTCATTGTAAAAAGAGCTCAATATTACCTGACATTAATTGAAAATTGGAAAGACAAGACTCACGAGAAAGTAAATTAAGAAGGGAAGGGACAAGGAAGGTTATAACGAGGAATGCCTGGTGACAGACAGTGACCTTTATTTTACCGCCACTCTCTCAGAAAGCCACGTTATCTCACGGATTGAAAATATCACCGGCACCTTCTTGTAGCAAGTTATCATACAAAAATTGATAGCTATGGGCTTTGGTGATATAAGGTCAAAATTATCAAAGTATTTTAAACTCAATCCTGCCAACATAAACGAAAAAGAAAAAAAAAAAGATTTGAATGGTATAAATAAAAGAGAATTCTTCTTTATAAAAATATATGGAATCTATTTATTATTGACAATTTTTTTTTCATTCGACAATTCATTGCAAATTCTTTCTTTTTTTTTCTTATATAATTGAATGCCAAATAACATATACTATTTTAATATATTATTTTCAGTATTTAATCTCAACTTTATTTTTTTTCATATTTAAATATACATTTTTGGTGTAAACCTGATTAGTGTTATAAATTTAAATCATATTGGGATGATTTTAAAACGTATTTTTTAGGCATCCATTAAAAATGTCATCATAATTTTTAAAAATCTACTAATAATATCATACATCTATCAACATAAAATTAACTCTCATTTACTCCTTGATTCAACAAAAAAAAAGTATTCTCTACAAAAAAGTAGAAGTTTTAGATATTAATTTAAGGAGGAAAGAATCACAAAGCTCCACGATGAAAGAAACAAGTGCTTCGGCCATTTTGAGAGAGTAATTGATTTTGTTTCTGCTTATGTAATATCTAGGTTGACACTTGGCTCTATTCAATTTGATCAAGAGTTTAGCATGTGAACTACTGGTCTTTCTTTAATAATTACATTGAAAGCAAGATTTACATTCTCAACTAATGGGTAGAAAACCCATTTTTTCAGTATTGGCTGAAAGCATGTTTTGCAAAGTATTTCCTTTCTCATATATCTGGATATGAATTTTCAGAATTCCTGTGAATTAGAAAAAATTGTAACTTTAAGAGTTAAAATGAAAACAACCAGTGAAGTGGAATTGCACACCAACACCACCACTACCATGTTTGTGTGTGAACAACTCATTCAAAAAACAACTTGATTAGTGAATACTTGGGAATAAAGTATTCAAGGAATCCCTCGATGTAAGCTTTCCGGCCCCAAGTTGACTGAACTTTTAAGATAGTGCTACTTTTTGCAGTGAAGAATAAAGAATACTAGAATAGTAATCTAGTACTCTAGTGTCATAGTTAAAAGAGCTTTTAGTTTTGTCAGTTTTAATGCGATAATGACGCTGACTGACCTTAAAATTTTTTTGGCTCACTTTTTTGTTATTTAATATGGGACCCATATTTTTTTTTTGTGATTCACTTTGACTTTTTTTCTGAATTTTTTTTAATTTAATTTTTTATGAATTTTATCAAAATTATTTTTCAATGTGACCCATTTTAAAAAATTTTTTTCTTTCAAAGCTTTTTTTTTTAGGTTTTTCTTTGATATCACGTGCAATTTTTTTTTATTTTTTAAAAATATTTCATAAATATTTTTTTTTGAAAGAACCAACTTGATATCAATTTTTTTTTTCAAGAACATTCAATAAATTTTTATACATTTTTTTTATATAAAAAATATGCTATGTAGTTTTTTTTTTTTTTCTCTTTTTTTCTCTGTTGGCCATGTGGTCTATCACGTGACAGTCCTTTCATTTTTTTTTTTGGTGGGACTCACCTATTTTTTTAATGTTTTAAACTTATACCACTCATTTTTTTGTTGAATTATTTTGAGTGTGGGATAAGGGTTGGTAATAAGTCGAAATGAGTTTTTGTTTGGTCTAAATTTGATCTAATTTTATATTTGTTAAATTCAATTTTGATTTGATTTGATTGTGTATAAATTATATTCGATTTAATTTAATTTTAAATTAATAAAATATTATTTTTTAAATATAAAATATTATTTTTTAAAATATAAATATTTAAATATATAATTATATAAATATATATAAATAAAAAATTATTTTTAAAAATTATTTTTATATAATATCTGATCAAATCAGATCGAATTTGTCTAAAATTTGAATCCGACCCAACTTAAAATTTGATTTTTTTTTTTTAAATCGACCTTATAAAATTGAATTGAATCGAAACCCGTCGGATGTGGATTGGGTTGCTCACTTTATGTGGGATCCATACCTTTGCTTAGTTTTATTTTGTTTTTGGCTTTTTATTCGTGAGATCCACTATTTTTTTTTTTTTTAAATTACACCTTGGTTATTTTTTTGTTGGGAAAAACCACAATACCCACGCGCAGCAACCACACACAAAATAGCAAGCTCAAATCAAGAATAAAAACACACAAATATATTTGGTTTGACCCAACTCAAAATGT